GTTAGAGAGGCTGTATTTGGAGAAGTCTTTAAAAGACCTTTTCATACTTGATGCCAAAGACTGTAGGTACTTGAATTTAGCAAAATGACTCAATATAGTCCAATAGTCTATGAAAGTAGTGAGTTAGCAGCACTGCTGATAATTGTCAGAAGTTGTTGACTTGAGCCTTTTACAGTTAGCTCAACATATTAATATGGCATTACTTTTTATACTTCATGGTTACACTTTTCTGCTGGATGTTTAAGACCAAGTTAAAGCAAGAACTATATAACTAAAAATGTAACTTTTGCTATCAGACAAGGTCAATCAAATCTCTTCAAGATTTACCCTGAAACCATGTACAGCAGTTTGTAGATCTTTTGACAGTGTCAGCCATCTGGATGAGTCATGGCCATTGCTTGACCAATTTACTCTCTGTAAGCCTGAGATAACTTCTCCAGGTGACTTGTTAGGCACACTATCCATCGTCAATCACTTCCCATTGTGGCCCCATAATCTCCTTGATCAGAAAATTTGGGATACCACTGAGTAACAGACTGTCACAGAAGAGCTTCTGTTATGTCCTGAGCCCTCACTGACCTTGGAGGGATAAGGCCAAACTATTGGCTGTCCTTGTAGCCCATTGATCTCTCTAATTTTTGGTCTGCAAACTTTAGTTGTTAAGCATGCAGAAGAGAAGCTTAATGATATTACTACCCTATAGCAGATGCTATTAAGCTTAACATTACTATCTATCTGAATGTCAAACACCTTAGACATAAAATATATTCTTTAATGAGTAAGATCAAGATTATCTGCCCACACTTGGAGTAAATAAAAGAAGGCATAAATTTTAAAAGTATATGCACCCATGCTGACCACTAGGGAGGCAACTAAAAGTAGAACAATATGAGGGGAATCATGGTGCAGAGAAAGGCCTGGTTCCAGTAATTGTTAGTCTGGCTAGAGAGGGTCACAATGAAGACAGACAAGAAGGAAGCAGACAAATTTACCAATCAGCTGCCTAAGGGAAGAGGGCTGCAGGAAGAGGAAGCAGGTACAGTTAAATTCATAAATTGTGAGAGAGTCTGGTGTACTTGAGGTACAACAATGAGGCCTGTAGAGTAGGAGCAGAGAGCATAGAACAGACACAAAAATGGATTAAGGGGAAACTACACTCTATAGGAATTTGCTTTTACCTTTTAAAGACATATGGTATCACTGCAGTGCCATCAACCACAGAGCAGCAGGATCATTTCAAATTTAGAGAGATTTTTCTGCCTGTTGACTTGGAACTACATTGGAATGGGTCATGTACCATAAGCAGGAAATCATTTGAACATTCTTGTGTCAATCTGAGTGAAGGATATTAAAGGCTAAGACAATGGAAGGGATTAGATGTCATCACACAAAAGCTGAAGGTGAAGCAACAGGTTTCCATGATGGATCTGGTGTGCATAAGAGAGGGTTAGTGTGCTTCTGAAGGTGTGAGGAATCAAGTGAGGAAAGCCTGTGAAGGAGAAACAAAGAACTACCGAAGAGGCTTGAGGCTAAAGTTATAGAATAAGATGAAGCCTGCTAGCTAACCACAGTTATATGTTGTTTCACATTGATACTGGTTCTTTAAGTATTTTTTAAAGTTTTTGCATTTGAAAAATCATATTTTGAGCACATGTACTGAATTTGGAGACTACTTTATCAAACTAATCAAAAAAGCACATTTGTAGGGCTAGAGATGTCTCTCAGTGTTAGAATGCTTGCCTGGCCTGCAGTAGTTTCTAGGTTTGAGCAAGAGAGTGTGAGAGTGTGTGTGTGTGTGTGTGTGTGTGTGTGTGTGAGAGAGAGAGAGAGAGAGAGAGAGAGAGAGAGAGATTAAATAAGAAAAATAACACATAACACATGTCTATATGATTAGGATTTTTTGGTCTTACTTTTTGCATGATCCAAAACTGTTACTGTGGGCCATTAACTGTACAAAATGAGTAATACAGTACTTCCTAGCATGAGTGACTTCCATCATATATAAAATGTATTAATGTTAAGTCATTGCTAACAAGATCCCTTCTTGAATGTGATAATTTATAGTATTTGTGCTGCCATTAAATGAAATAAATATTATATCACATTTTGTTTTTATGGTATGAACAAAATTTTTAGACATGTTCAGTAGTTATAATATCTCTCTTTGTTCTCCTAATATAGTAAAAATCCTCTAAAAATAAAATACAAAATTAGAATCAAGTTAAGTACAGAAACATATGCCTTGTATTAAATTATCTTTTTATTGAACTTTTATAATAGTTGACTAGAGAATAAAATTAATAAAATTAAATCAAAGTTATGAAATCCATAATATTTCAGTGGTAAATATAATAAATAGAATAAATTTTAATTTATTACTAGGAAGATTTATTTTGGGAACTGTAATGCACACGTTCAAAATAAGACTCAAAAATATCAAATGACTGACAGAGTAATTATGAAAAATGTTGTTATATTTGAATGCATACATTATGCTGCAGGTGTGAATTTCAGACTACACTGGAATCATTAAAGTGACATTGCAGTGCTGACTGCTGACATTAATAAGAAAGGTACTTAATGTTACAAAAATATTTGGCAATGTCCAAAGAACAGTATGAAATGGTGAAGAACTATTATATTTCCTCTTTCAAAATAAAAATGGTTTCAAGGTGTGCAGAATGCTTAAAAATTATGTTATGTTTTGTTCTCGTTCACGGGATCAGTCTGTCCAAGGTTCACTTTGAAATAATGCTCAGGTTTCTACAGACACTGGTTACGATTCCTGAAATACTGGCAACCTCCCTCTTCTCAGAAACACAAAGCTCTGTGGTTTTAGAAAAGAAGAGAAACAAAAGTGGATTTTAATCAGTGGTGTGTATCTTTTATCCAATTGAAGAATTTTCAATATAGAGTGTAGTGTGTTCATCTTAAATATTTGGGAAAAAATGTTTGTTTTATTTTTATATCTAGCAGAAGGTTTTTCCTGGTCGAAGTGCTTCTATCTTCTTTAGCTTGTCGCTGTGTCCTTTGTTTCTCTCCCACACTGTCTTTTCTGCAGAACAGCCTTTTAATTGATTCTACTACATTAGAAGAAGCTTATTTCTTAGGTAAAAGTAACAGTTGTACTCTTTCCTTGCATGCAATGTTTAACAAGCACTTTTAACATTTAAATTGCATTTAAAGTTTGAAAAGTTAAAATTTATTTAAATTAGAGAGGAAATTTTATTCTATGGGCTACATACTGACTTCAAGGACACCTAAACTGTCCAGTAAGACCCTGTCTCAAAATTCCCCAATAGCCATTAATTTTACTCTTATTTTCTTATCTTTAAATTACCAACTAGTATGTGAAAGTCACAGCCAAAGAACTCATCTGTGAACTAGACATTGTCTTCACTTCTCATCCTTGTGGATATATATATATATATATATATATATATATATATATATATATATAGTGTGTTGCATTAATTCTACATGAAATTAAGCTTATATATTAAAGCAAATGTGATATATCTTTTAATCTCATTCATAAATACTTTAATTGTGTCTCTCGTAGTGGGTGATCTGTTTTGTTATAATTAGTAACACTTTACAACCAAAATGTGTGTTCTAATATCATAATATTGACGTGTATCAGAATGATAGGCAGGAAAAGAGGTAGAAAAGCTCATCTGCTGCACAAGAGCGCCCAGCAAGCCCTGTCATCCATTGCTGCTGTCTAAGGGTGCACCATAGGTCAGTGCTGTGCCAGAGGGCTTAGAATTGTAGCCTTCCATCCCATTGTACAGAAAACACCGTTCCTTAGAGCTGTCACAGTACACATAGAATAGTACAGCTCAAGTATGGCAAATGGTCTTTGTGATTTGATGGAAATAATTTTTAAAATCACATTAAAGCACAAAATCATAAAAAACCTAAAAGAGTGCATTAAACGTGATTCTTCTGTCCATTAAAATATGTAAAGAAGAAAACCAATATGCAAGCCATAGAGTACAAGAAACTGTTTGCAAAATGCATATGTGATGAGGTAATAGCATTTTTAATTTTTAATTATTCATTTATTTATTTGGTAGAGGGTCTCGCTACGTACCTCAGACTTGTAGTGATCCTCCTGTCTCAGCCTCCCCAGTGCTGGGATTACAAGCGTGCTCCACCACACCCGGTTTCAGAGACCATCACCGCGTGGCCCCTGCACTTTACATGGTACCAGGGATCTAACCCAGGTCCTTGCATTTGTCAGGCAGGTGCTTGGAGCGCTGAACTACCTCCTGAGCTAATGGTATTTTAGAACACAAAAATAAAGTACATAAATTAATTTTAAACATTGTAAAATAAAGGAGCTAGGTGAAATGACACTTCAGAGAGAAAAAAGTACATGCAGGCTGAGGAACTCACAGGTCATTGTCTCAGTTCTGTGAAACCCTGGTTTGATCTCCAGCATTAGCAAAGAATAAAAGTCAAATTAAATTGAAGAAAATATAATTTCAATAAAAATATTTCAATATTACCAGTCCTCAGGAATTACAGTTTATAATCACAGTAAGATGCAACTGCGCACCTTACTCACATAAGATATAGAAATTTTCTTATTCACATAAGATATAGAAAGAAGAAAAGGAGTTGTGAGGAGGTGGAGCACGCGAAACGCTCTCTCCTTTGGCAGGAAGCTGAAAGGATGCACTTAGCTAGTAAGTGCATAGAACCTGGTGGTTCTATAAAATTAATCATGCACCACTCTGTGACCCTGAAATTCCCCTTTGCCCTCAAGAAATGAAAAGATTTATCAGAAAAAAGCCCTGTATGTAAATGTCTGCAGCAGACTTACTTATAATAACCAAAACTAGAAACAGCGTATCAGCAAAGACATGTCTATACAACGTTTCCCGCAGCCGGGTTGGGGCAGGCAGAGCACCACCAGAATCTCGGCCTGCTCCTGCTTCGCTGCACCGCTTCCCTCTCCCGTCGCCATGGTCACCTATAAACTGGTGCTGGCCATGGTCACCTACAAACTGGTGCTCATCCAGCACGGTGAGAGCGCCTGGAACCTGGAGAACCGCCTCAGAGGCTGGTATGATGCCAACTAGAGGCCTGCGGGCCACGAAGAGGCGAAGCACATAGGGCAGGCTCTGCGAGATGCTCGCTACGATTTTGGTATCTGCTTCACCTCAGTGCAGAAAAGAGCAATCCGGACTCTCTGGACAGTACTGGATGCCACTGACCAGATGTGGCTGCCGGTGGTGAGAACTTGGCGTCTCAATGAGCGGCACTATGGGGACTGACTGGCCTTAATAAAGCAGAGACGGCTGCCAAACACTGGGAGGCCCGGGTGACGATCTGCCGGCGCTCCGACGATGTCCCACCACCCCGATGGAGCCTGACCACCCCTTCTACAGCAACATCAGCAAGGATCGTAGGTACGCAGACCTCCCTGAAGATCAGCTGCCTTCCTGTGAGAGTCTGAAAGACACTATTGCCAGAGCTCTGCCCTTCTGGAATGAAGAAATTGTCCCCCAGATCAAGGAGGGGGAAAAGGTGTTGATTGCAGACCACGGCAACAGCCCTTGGGGTATAGTCAAGCATCTGGAAGGTCTCTCTGAAGAAGCCATCATGGAGCTGAACCTGCCAACTGGTATTCCAATTTTCTATGAGTTAGATAAGTACTTAAAACCCATCAAGTCCATGCAGTTCCTAGGGGATGAAGAGACTGTGCGCAAAGCTGTGGAAGCTGTGGCCAGGGCAAGGCCAAGAAGTGAAGACCACCAGCAGCCTGCTCCCACCCACCCACCCTCCACACCTCTCCCCACCTGTCACACTGACCACATCTGTAGGCGTCCTGTGTTGTAGCTGCGGATGGGGACCAGTGGCTCCCATTTCCCTTTTAGCATTTTGGCCCCTGCCCCCAGTCCCTTGATAGAATCGAGTCAGGACAGGACCTCTAGGACACGAGCTCTAGTTCTCAGTCCAAGCCCAGGGAAGGCTCTTCTTATCCGGGCGAGCTGAGAGGTAGTAACTGCCTAGTGCTTCTGCTTTGTTTACTAAGGACCTGCTTGAGTAGGGGAGAGGGATAACCATGCCAAGGCATGAGCAGCGAGGAGCGGCCTGAGCACGCCACTCCCCGGAGCCAGCCCTGCGCTCTTCTGCAGTCCAGTCAGTCAGTGAGCTCTCGACATTCCAGTGAGAGATGAAGGTAACGTGCATGGTGACTGAAATACAGTTTCTTCCCTCACCCTAGAGGAGCTGGCTCCAGAAGGTTGGGCTTAATCCTGAATTAAGTTTATGTATTCAAGTTTTCTACCAAAGAAAAATTATATAAACAAAAACCCTTCTGGGGCTTCCAGTGGTGGTTGAATAGTTCCACATGTGGTCACAGAAAACAAGTCATTCCTCACAGCAGTACAGAACGAGCTCTGGCCTCTAGGGTAGGAGAGCATCCTGCTGTGTAGCTTAGGCTCCCTCTGCCTTGTTTTGGTGGCAGTGAAAACGCTTCCTGACCACGTCTAAGTGCATCTGACAACGTCTGATTTCTGAATCATGTTCCAGCTGGCCTGGCCCGCCACATGGGACAGCACTCATTGGAGCATAACTGTCTTTTTCCAGATCAGTATAATAAAGGAGTGATGTGCAATAAAAAAAAAAAAAAACATTTCCCTACTAATAAAAATAAATAATATTATGCAAAAATACAAAAGTATGATATAGATTATATATATATATATATATATATATATATATAGAGAGAGAGAGAGAGAGAGAGAGAGAGAGAGAGAGAGAGAGAGACAGAGAGACAGAGACACAGACACAAAGAGTGAGAGAGACAGGGACAGAGACAGAGAGACAGAGACAGAGACAAAGAAATAGAGAGACCTGAACCAAAGTGGAGTGAAATTTTATTAAACCAAAAACTGCATACTATATGAAGCACAAAATATAGGATTTTTTTTTTTTTTTTTTTGCGGAATTTTTTTTTTTTTTGCGGAACCAGGGATCGAACTCAGGCCCTTGTGCTTGCCAGGGAAGCGCTTATTCCACTGAGCCATCTCCCCGGCCCCTAGGATTTTCTAAAATCAACAGTTTTACCCAATGATAAAATGTCACAATATTTTCTTCCAGGGATTAGGAAAAAAACTGGAGGAATAAGAGGTAGCTCTCTAAATGATAGTAGTGTCTCTATCCTAATACAGATGAGGAGGAAATGGGTGAATGTGATTCTCAGACTCATGAAATGTCAGTATCTCATTGAAACTTTTATATTCAAAAATCCTTAAAACTCCATGGTTGTCACTTAATGATATGCATGTTGGAGTTTGGTGAGTTGATACCAAGACAAACTCAAACTATAAGATAAACTGATGGATCAATAGAAATAGAGATAAGCATATGGTCAAACATGCATTGAAAGCAAAACAAGTTATTAGTGACTGAGAGTATTGTAGTGATTGTAGAAACATTTATCAACGTGTTATGCATTTAAAATTTTTCATAACTTAATGTAAGAAATAGTTCCCTTCATATATGGGTAAAATAGCCACCCACTTCCTTATTTAAATTTGTACTTTTAGTTAAAACCCCAGGTTTGCATAATTACACAACTACTTAACCCTTCATGCTAATTCCAACAGGAAAATATAATTAGAAAGTGAAAAATATTGTTGATATTGGTAGTACTTATTAAATATAATTTATGGTGCTGAGGATTAAACTCAGTTCTCTTGAGTGCTGGGCAAGTACTGTACCATTTTAGCTTAATACTCTTCAATAGCTTTGTTCATTATACTTTCTTTTATTCTTTTAAAAATATTTATTCATTTGTTACTTTCTATTTGAATCTCAAAAAACTGAGTAATTGTCTAATAATGCAGACTTGGAGGTCTTATATTTACCTCTATGGAGAAATATGTACTTATTTCTTATATCTAACAAATGTTATCTATTTTCTAGATTTTTTATTAAAGTCATAGATTTGGGAAGTCATTTTGAGAAAATATTTTTTCCTAAATATTGAAGTACTTTAAAAATTCTCCAATTAATAAGAGAAATTATGTATTTTCATTTTATGAGGGTTGTTTCCAATAATTATATCTGTAATCAAATGAGTAGTTTTCTCCTTTACTATGCTTTCCAGAGAGGGACAGAGTAACGGATCAAATTTCAGAGAGGAACTAAGCATTCAGGAACTTGGACAGACTTAGAACAAAGATATGTAGCTGAGCTAAGGTAGCTCTGCTGTTTCAGCCCTGTGTAGGATCCAATTTAGGGGAATAGAGATTGCTCACCACATTAATGTAGACTGCAGACCCAATCGAGTACACTAAATTCCAAATCCCACACCAGAGGAGGGTGGTTCCATACACTAAAGTCCCCTAACACCATGTACACTGTAGAGGATACCAATACCCTAAAAGAAAATTGATGCATTATTCAGAGTTGGAGGTACATCCCAGTTGACCAAATGGAAATAAAACTGAGAGCTAAAATTATTCTACACAGGAATTGATATGCAAAAAAAAAAATTTATGGTATTAATATTATGATTAGCTTTAACAGTAGAAACTGCTTTATTCTGCCAGGTGAATGGTACATTAAAGCAGTTCAATATATTAAAAATACACAGTCAGTACAATCCTAAACAATTAACAAATGCAATGAACTATCGAATGGGAGGACTTGGAATTGATATTTCTGGTAGTAATTTAAGGTAGACCAAATTGTCATCCAGTAGGAGTAGTCACATATTGGGTGAGGCAGATTAAAACTCACTTAAAAGTCTTAAAGGAAGTTCTATTATTTTTCCTCCTTGGGGATCAAACCCAAGGATGCATACTGTACCACTGAGCCATACTCTTAGTGTCTTGAAGTTCTATATTCAAAGAATAACCCAAAACAAACATGATTGTTTTAAAATATATGTCTAAGTAATCTATTCTGAAATTAATCTTTATGCAACAATTTTACATTTTATTCATATTCATTTAATATAAACATGGACATGAATCTCCTAGATTGCTATGCATCTTCTATGCTCTTTAAAATGTTTCTTCAGGTCAAGTGATTTTTATAATTATCCATAGTATTAAAGTCAAACTCTTACCTTAGAATTACATTATTCCTTCTGTGTAAATGTAAGGAAAGACAAAACAAAATGAAACTAAACAACACAAACCTATATTTACTATTTAATAAATATGTCTTGTCATTTGATCATATTTGACATTTTTTAATGATGATGAAAAAGGTTCATGTTAATTCTTAAGCAATTTATTTTCCAAAAAGACTTTGGATTTTGATAAAATGTTTTAATTCTAAACACTTATGATTGGCATTTTATGAACAAGTTAATAAGAATAGGACAAGAATATATCAGATACAAAGTTACATTTTTAGTTATATAGGTCTTGCTTTAAATTGGTTTTAACCATCCAGCAGGAAAGTATAAACATGAGATATAAAAAGTAAGGCCATATAAATATGCTGAACTAGCTGTAAAAGGCTCAAGTCGACAACATCTGACAATTGCCAAGTCTGCTGATAACCCACGACTATTATGGACTATTGGCCAATATTAGGTTATTTTGCTGAATTCAAGTACCTACAATCTTTAGACTGGTTTCAAGTATGAAAATGTCCTTGAAAAACTTCTCCAAATATTGTTTCTCTAACTGCAGTGGAACACCTACCTGTGACAAAATAAAATAAAAAAGGGTGATAGGTTGGGAGCTACCAAGCTAGGAAATTGATCAAATATCTGTAGGTGGGACTTGGCCCAGTGCCTAAAGCCACCTCACTCCTGAGATGAACATCCTGTCTGGTTAAGGTTGGCTATCAGTTGGTAGGCAACTTAGTTGTGTCATGCGCCACTAACTTCACAGAAGTACAAATAAAAGACAGTTTTGTTGGGGAAAAAAAGAGGGGAGAAAAAAAATATATGTATACACAAGAGAGTTAGGATAGATATACAGCTACATTCTCTTAGTTCATTGAGAATAAAAGTTTGTACTAATAGTATTTAGACAAGATAATTCTGTCTGCATCTTGTCCTCTGAATAACTACTACAAAGACAACAATATGCAGTGTATTAATTATAATAACTGTCCTACTAACCTGATATGAAACTGTTTCATTGTTATTTTATCTTTCTTTTCTCATTAAAATGAATAAAAAATAAAGAAGAATAAAAGTAGCAAATCTGAATTAATCCCTTAAATTGAGAAAGCTTGGTGTGTGTGTGTGTGTGTGTGTGTGTGTGTGTGTGTGTCTGTGTCTGTGTGTGTCTGTGTGTGCTAATTAATGTACCTGGGCTAGGTTTTATGTCTGAAACTTGTGGACTGGCCTATATTTATCATCACTGATATCATTTTCAGTTTTACCCAAGAACAGATGGGGCAGGTTTTTCTTGTTTCATCCCTACTCCAGTATTCCTGCTTAAGCACTGCTACCTTGTCTGCCCTCCTGCTGCATATAACTGCATCTCTAGCAGGGAATGCTGAAGTCCAGGCTGAGGTGTTTATAGCTCGTTGCCATATTGCTCGCTCTGTCGTGCATTCACAGTAAAGGCGTACATGATTTTCTAAGGCAAAGTGCGATCTTTAGACCTATGTACTGCTCTCATTGGCCAGCTTGCTACAAAGACAAACTCTCAGACTGCTTGAGCTCCACTGAATATGAATGTTTCTATGCTCACAAGGTAATGCATCTGCCCACGAATGTGGAGGTGCACCCAATGCTCTAAGAGCCCCTGGGGTATTGCCATGGGCGTTTGTCCATTTGGGGTAATTAGGTGTAGCTGAGCTTAGTGAATTGCTTCTAGTAAACATGGAGCGATAGAACGTACTGGGTGAGGAGAAAG